GGCACACCTACCACTGAGCCACAACAGAATTTCAACTATAATCCTACAACTCGCAAGTAAATAAAAAAAAATATTCCACGAACTGAATAAAACATATTGTAAACGAATCGATCACTTTGTTAGGTATTGATTGAATGATTGGTGTGGGTACAGTATCACATAAAAGACTATCTAGTACCAATACACGGTGGGGGGAGCAACCAACCCGGGATGTTCTGATTTTCAACAGTGGGTACTTCCTCGATTTCGCCATAGATAAAATATAAATAAGTAGCATACAGACATAAAATGGAGTTTGTGCATGGACAATACTGAATTCAGTACATGCGCACTGAGTCTTACAGCAATTTTTCTCAAATTCTAATGTAATAAATTACAAACACGTACACAAAAAAAACCTGGTAGCTAAGTTTTCTCCCTCGTGTCCCTTGGGTAATCGTATATAAAAGTGTAAATATTATCCTCTACCCAAATATTTGTAGAAACGTAAATTATGATGCGATATTGTCTTCGTAAATCAGGCAACTTGCAGAAAATTTAAGAATGTTCAGCATAAAGGAAGAGTGTTACTCTAACACCCAATCAATTCCAGCGAAATCTTCTTTCCCAATTACATGCAAAAATATAGAAAAGGTTTGCCAGCTGTACCTTTCCATGTCTTCCAGTTCTAGGGAAAAATGGTCAGAAAAGCTACGAAACTTTCCGTCTTTTACGTCATTATCAGTTCTTGCACTGCAACAGTAATAGTTTCTCATCATACATGATAACAGTATATACAGAATAATAAGGGATTGATGGAAATATTTCTTCATCACGATGTATAGCATCAATTTCCACATGTTTACAGTCAGTTGATATCATTTGAAAAGAACATTAAATGGGTAGCAAGATTAGCTCATTTCTGTGGGGAACCTGCTCCGCAACAATTGGATGAGGGTTTACACACTCTTTTCACAGTGATTTTATACAATGGCTTAGACCTAACACGCAGTGTCAGGATTCTAATGATTCTCTTTGACATTAGTATAAAATGAGTTTTATTTTGTTTGTCAGAATACTTACTAATTTCTGAGTTCTCCTTTTTCGTTGTTTTCTAACTTTGTGACTTAAATTTTGATAGGGCACAGGCAAGCAATGTGACAAAATCCCTTCTTTCTATTTCTTTCGTTGTGAGTGAGTAGGTGGGGGCGATATCTGTGTTCTATATTGATCTGTTCCGACATAATCATTTCCAGTGTCGTGAAAAAAGTATTTGCTTTTCTTTTTTACCCACTATTCTAGTTTCATGTGTCTTTTGTACCTGGTTTCTCTGGATAGGTACCGCCATGAAATGATTCCAGTCTGTACAGCGTGTTCATTGCAATCCGAGAAAAACTGTATACTTGCATTCGTAAACCAGACACGATCTAAAATTCTATGTAATATGAGTTACCTACAAAGCAAATCTGTGACACAAGCTGATATTGGTATCCTGTCGATATGATCACGAAAGGCGGCACCATCATGTAAGGCTATGCTGCATGAGTGTCTACAATGTTATACGAAATAGAATCCATTGCATTTGTAAATATAAATCCATTCAATTCAGCTTTAAAATAAAATCCAGTGCGGCTCAATAAATACTTTCCGACGAGTTCACCACGCACTCATTATTTCGTATTACAGTGCAAGAGCTTCTGTCCATCGAGCCAGTATGGTGACAAGTTAACATGATAAATAGTAGATTTGACAAAATGCTTTTTACGAAAGCCATTGCATCATTTTGTCACTTAAGGGATCATTCCAGCTGTGGAGATTATCAGAATTTACTAATTGCTGTCACATTCAGATTCAAAAAAATTGTAATGCTTTTGCATAGCATGTCAGATGTAAACCTGGCTGCAGCTCAATAGAGCTTTCCTATCAAAACCCTGTTATGGCTTTTAACGACAAATAACTTCGTTACCAAAAATTAATTTTCATGCTCGTACATGAATAATTTTTCTGTCATTCACGAAAATCTAAATATAAATATTAATATTAATGAAAATGTATCTGTAGATGTAAGTGTACTTTTATTACTTTTTCCTTTTTCAATTGGTTATGGAGCCTTTTGTGTTCTTTTGTTTGCATTTTTAAAATTATATTGTAAGAAGATTGCCTTTGAAGCGTGACTGCTTCTGTAATACAGATGCAGTTTGATTTCCAAAACCTAAACTCGTTTGTATTTAAATTCTGGACATGGATAAATATTCAGAATGCAGAACCCGACAAACTGATCTTTTCCTATTACGTTTAATAGTCTCTTTCTCGTAGATGTCGATGTCGCCTTCTGCTCAGAAACAATTATCGACAGGTCTCAATATATCATATCTAATCACGATAAAGGCTTCCTTCCTCCGCCAATTACATTCACTTCTTGAAAATATTGTAATATTAGAAAAATGAACCAGCTAAAAATAATGTTACAAGCTGTTATGAAACGAATGTTGGGACTCAAGTGACATTTGACCCCTATCATTTTTGGCTTAATAGGTACGAATAGGCCATTATATCAATACAGAGGTTTCTTTTGGTACAAAATACAACAAAATGTTCAGAGTCCAAAAATATGTATTCTAAACATTAGCAAAGGATCCCGCCAGGTAGCATTCTCGTCCCGTTAATTTTCAGCATTTTTTTTTTTCAAAATAGTGATATTTTTTAACTTTACAACAAAAAACCATGACGTATTTAAGAAAGACCTGGATAAATGATAATTTATAACTTATTAAAGGTTTTTCAGGCAATAAAATGTAAGCAAAAGCTGACAAATCCCTTGTAATAATACAAGTTTTCATTTTGAACGTAAATCAATACAAACACAGGAATCCGTCAAATTAAACTGTATTAATATAGACTACTCAGTTTACTACACATGTCAGCAGTATTTGTTTCAACAATAATACCACAAGACAAATAAATATTAGTAAAGATTTAAGCAAATATCTCAATTTCGATAATAAAGGCAATTTGGAATGTGTTTATAACAAGAAACATACAATTTATGTGATGAAATAAATACATATAAGTCATTTCTATACAATGATTCTGGAAGTACTTCTAATGAACCGCTGAAATAACCATAAACTTTCTTAGTTTGGGACAGGTAGTTCCAGAAATATACAAAGTAATGTATGATTAAGGCCTCATTCATTTTAAACGATCATTTTAAAACTCTTAAATGCAAAAACATGCTTCAAAAGACCTGATAAAAAAAGGAATGGTAAATAAATAGGTTTTAGCCATTCAGCAACTAAGCTGTTAAACTTTCTACCAGTTTAAACCAGACATCCGTGCAGTAATGAATTAATAAAATTTATTACCATTTTTAAAGGTAAATAGTCTTAAGAAAAAAGTAACAGATAGAGCGAAAACCAACATTTGTTTGCCAAATTCAGCAGCTAATTTATTTCCTTAGAATACATAGTGAAAATATACAAAGAAATCTTTATTGTGAACTAAAATCCAAATAGTCCCAAAAATTGTATCACAAGTCCAAGTCCAATGTATAGAGTTCCGAATGAATTCAGATAGTGTTCCGAATGAAATCCAATTTTAAACGTGCTGATGTGCCAATAGCCTCGTAAAAATGTTGATGTGCTGCAGCTTTGATGTATCACACTGATAAAATCTGAAATGTCTTTGAGCATTTTTGAAGCAAACAACTTTATACAACTTTATAAACTTCTTAACCTGACCAATGTTGCAATAATACTTTCGGACAATACTCTGTCGTCCATTAATTCGTTAACAATAATATGTTTACATAAATTTGAGATACACCGGAAAGAAAGAGACCATATTTTTCCCAAGGAATACCAATGTCTGAAATTCAGATCCAGATACTATGTTCACCGCCAAATAATACTAATCTTATTAAATAATCCAAAATCATAGACAAGAATTAGCTATGTAATATGTCGTTTGTTTGTTTTTCCGCCAAATAATAATGATCTTAATACATGATCCAAACTCAAAGACACGAATTAGCTTTGTAATGTGCAGTTTGTTTGTTTTTTTTATTTAAAAAAAAAAACAACAAACATTATTCAGGTACACCTAATTACTAGTCACGTTATCTCAGCCCGGCCATTAGGATGTGTCTAAAAATGAGTATTTTTACAGCGTTTGACGTCTAAACATTGCCACAAGCTAGTGCTAACCCATTATGCAAGGTTATCGCGACCGCCAGCAAGGCTATATTTCGGCCACTTAGATAAAGGCTTGTAGTATTTGCACTTGGGTGTTAATATTTGTTCAGAGATCAAAGGAAGACTCAAGGTGAAAGGGGCATGTTCTCATCCGTCTCCACGTGGACAGACAGCGAGAGGACATTGTCCACTAAGTTTGATTGGATCAGTTCACAGCGACATCCAATCGAAATTAAGATAGAGGGTGTGATTATAACTTAGATCAGAATAATAATTTCGACCCTCACAAGCAAAAGGTTAGTTTCTCCTGAGAAGATTTCTAAGGAAATAGGGTGTGAGTTGTAATGTAAAGAGATCTTTCTGGTTAGTTTGATATTGTTTAATATAGTTAGATTTGGAGTATCTACTGATGTGAAGCAATTTATTGTTTTATGTATAAGTGTATTTGATGCCCTGCTTTACTTTTGTCGTGTTTTACCATGCAAGAACGTATGAGTATTTCGATGTGAATGAATGCGTGACCGAAGAAATTTAATAGCCGTTATCTGATGATAGGCTGTGTGTATTGTGAGATGAGAGCGCAAAGCAAAAATTTGTGATATGATGTGATTATGATTTTTAACGTAGCTTTAAGAATCTTTCAGTCATATGCAGTGTGGCACTTTATAGTGATGTCTAGCACCTGGGCATAATGCCGCAGACATGTAGCATGATGTCCCACCCAGTCACATTATCCTGACGCAAGTTCGACAAGTCCTAACACTAACCTCTTAATGCTGAGCGCCACGCGAGACAGCTGTTAGTACCATTTTTGTAAGTCTTTTGGTATGACTCGACCGGGGATTGAACCCACGACCTCCTGCATTTGAGGCGGACGCTCTAACCACTAGGCTACTGGAGCGGTTCCAAGCAAAATCAGTATACCGTCATTGTGTTTTCACAGGAAGTCTCTCACACTAAGAAACAAGTGATGCAATGGGCTATTAAAGGACCGAGCGGAAGGAGTAAATTTGAGAAATTTTGAATCTTTTAACTTTGGAATTGTTATTAAATTGTCATTCATTGGATTTCACCCTTTTGTATCTTTAATCATTTAACTTTCGGCGTTGCTGACTTGAAGCCCTAAACTGTACATCTAACTTTCACTAAATTTTGCCAAAATTGAGCCTGGTTGGGACTTCTATAATAATTTAAATAAAATATTGGGAGCAACCCACCCACCCCCATCTCTCATAACCAATCCTCACATGGGGGCATCATCCACAACTACTCTCAGTTAATAACAAAGGTCAATCACAATAAAAAATTAATTCTACATTGCATATAATAATGGACAAACACCATCACACAATACAAATTAATTATACATTGCATATAATAATGGACAAAAACATCACACAATGCAAATTAATTATACATTACATATAATAATGGACAAAAACCTTCACACAATACAAATTAATTATACATTGTATATAATAATGGACAAAAACATCACACGATACAAATTAATTATACATTACATATAATTATGGACAAACACCATCACACAATACAAATTAAAGATATATTACAAAATGCGTCGCGTATAAAAATAATATAAGGTATATCATGAACTATACTGAGCTAATGCTTTCATGGCCAACAGATTAGACCATTCGGAAACCCGGGTCCCAATTATGTAAATACAAAGTGATATGACTAGGTCTTATTTAAGTTGAAGGACACCGGGTGATCGAGTGGACGGGCGCTAGCCTTTACATATCAATGACATCTCGCCTCTGTCCGCATGCATTCGTGTCTAGGTTCGATCAGCGATGTGGGTATGTGAGAAAGTTGTTAGTAGCTTTTCGTGAGTATAGGTGGTTCTTCCCTGCATCTTCCTCAACAAATTATACATGTACAGGCAGCCACGAACAGCCTAATATGCTCTGAAAATGGCGTCAAGCCCACAAAAACAAATCTGACTTGACTTGAGGACTGGGAGTGGCATCTGCCCACATTGTAAAATGTTAATATCGGCAATATAAGTATTCAAATGAAGAACAAAATTTAAGCACACAACCTTAACTTGGAACTAACGTCTTCTCTGTTTGCCATGTTTATGCAAAGAATCGATTGTATTAAATATTTCAGTATGGGCTATTCAAAAACTACATATAACAAATAATAGTGGCAACGTAAGTCCACGAACCGCGTGCAAAAATCTCAGCCTGAAAACAAATGGAATTCCTGCTGTTTTAGTGATTCGATAATGAAGAAAATTGTCATAAGTAATTAAGGAATAATTCTTAATTTATTTGATTACTAATTCTAAGGGGATTAGGTCTCCAGCTAGTACTACATATTGTTACTTAACTAAATTTCGCATATAAAGAATAGTGAAATTCTTTATGTCAGTGATATAACAAATATTTTTCAAGAGCATCTGCACGACAAGTTATTTTGTCGGATTTGCTTCGAGGTCGAGTTATGAAGGTTCGAGTAATGCCGAGACACGAGTCAGCTGTTGTCTAATTGTCCCAGAACTGCACAAGAACCGTTCAATTAGAGTTTCCTCTGATTACTCCCATTCCATGTTTGATATTTTGACATCATGTTGGGTGTGTAGGTAGGGTCAGAGTCATTTGCGTATTGAAAAAGTTGGAATTCGCCCACACCATGCGGTGCCGGCATAGGGTAGCCGCTTACTAGCCGGCCTAGCAGACTTGAATGATCTTTCATCGATATGTACCTGCAGGAGATCGATAAGACTATGATTTATTTTCTCAGAAATTGCGAGTTATGTCTTTAATCTGTTGACAGCGAGACGAAACTACTGCGTTGCTGAAATTTAGCCTGGAACTTATTTGCATTCCGAGTCACATGACTAAACAAATATCACATCTACATGGCAAAGACATAAAAGATTCAATAGTCACGTGATATCAACTACATACAATATTCGATATTGCTGCAGGAAAGCAAATCGAAAATTAAAAAAAAATATCACGTAATCCTTAGTAAAAAATGAAAGAACATACACTTCTATAAATACTTATTCTGAAAACAACGAACAGAAATCTGTTACTGTCTACACCTTGCTGTGATGCCAATAGGTTTCTGGTCGCTTTCACAAAATAAATATGTTGAGAATTTAGTGTACATTATATTTATTTATATATACTGCGTGACTTTTATTTATTATTTTCAAATTTTATATACCACACCATTGGAAAGTGGTTTATTGTTGATATCACGTGACTATTGGACCTCTAATGTTATTGAAATGTGGCTTGTAAGATTTATGCAGTCTGTGACTAGAAATGCAAATGACGAATTTCATGTCAAACTTCATCAACGCTGTAATTTTGACTCATCAGTCAGCGGATTAAAGACATAAACAATGTCCTACTTGCTGTTTCTGAGATTAGATTATCGATTTATGCAGGTAGGACGCATTGAGAGGTCGTTCATGTTTGCTAGGGCGGCTAATAAGCAGCTACTCTATGCCGACACCGAATTCCAACTTTTCGATAGACAAACGACTCTGAGCCTACACCCTTACTACCCAAATATAACAAATATGGTGGGAAGGGTAAGAGGAAACTCGAATTAACGAACCATTAAGCATTCACCAACCAAGTCATCCTCGACCTACCAGATTAGTTTATACCCTGAAAAACTTCATTCATTGTTTCTCTGTAAGGAGAGATCGTAAGCTTACGACACTATCATTATTGGGGTAACGGGTCTGCAGTCTTTGTAGTTGTCAGAAGGGGGAACTACTGATATGGTTATAACTTTATATAGATTATCCAACCCTAATCGCCAAGTCAAAATGATCATCGACTTCCATTATTCAATCACTAAATCCAATGTTATTTCTAGGCTTGTCGGAACAGAGAGGGGATGTTCCGATCAATTTAAGGGTAATAATTAAATCTGAAACGAATGTTAGAATTAGAATACCTTCTCGAAAAGGTGAATGGATTTCTCAGCCCATAACATACTCGGCCTGTTCCAGAGTCAGTCCATAAAAATGTTGACCCATTACAGAGTCGGTCCATACAAATTCAATTTAAAAATTATGACTATCAAAGTCAGCCTATTATCAAGTATTCCCATTACAGATTTGGTCCATACTTATTTAATTTTAATTAAATGTTACAATTTGTCAATAAAAAAACGATCCATATATGGTAATTTTTTTTTAAAAAAAAAGTCTAGTGACTACGCGAACAATTAAGGCATGATCATTTTATCTTCATTGATGCATGAACCGAAAAAACGGTGTCCAATCTGTGTAATAATGAGAAGAAAAACCTGGTCTATCCCTATAAATAAATTTACATTTAGTGAAGACAGAGTAATTTCACAAATATTTAAATGATCTATACAGACCCATCTGAATAATCACCTTACAACCATTTTACAGATTAAATTTCAAAGCGAATGTTGGAAGAAAAAAATATGTGCCAGTGGGCGGTGCTAAACTATATGCACTTTGGTTCATACAGGCATGATCCTCAAAATTGATAAAGGCGAGGCCAATCAACTTGCTGGAAATTGTAATGACAAAAGAAAAAATAATTAGTCGCCATTTAAAGGCATGTGTACTGAAATTCTAGACAATTATAACCGTTACCGAAATGTCAGTATTGAAAGTCTACTTAACTTGTAAACTTTCATTAGATACTAAAAATCGCACAAAGATGCACTGATAGATGCATTCAAAGATTCAAAATAAAATATTAAATGATCGTTGATAAAGGACATTACATCGACCTTGCTATTATATAAATTGGGGACTGAGTTATGTAATGGGCCAAGCAAAATCTAACAGAAGGTTAAACTGATAATATTGCTTCACATCAGACAATATCTATCATGAAATTAAAGTCTCATTAGCGACTGAATAAACTCAAAATGTTAACATTATTAAGTTCTAGGATGAGTCAAGTTTTAAAAAATGGCAAAAGATTGTAAGACTGCCATTGTAATAACAAAGACCAGACAAATCTAGCACATAATTTACAACATACTTCAAGTAATAGCTGTATATAGCTAATCATGGCAAATCTGTGTATTGACAAATCAGTGATTTGACATAAAAAAAATAATCGACATTGTTTGCTATTCTTTGTAAAAAAAAAAAAAAAAAAAAAACAAATCATCGGCTTAATTGAAATTCGGCCTTTGATCAAATAGAATTTGAACCATATGTCTTTATTTTTTAAATTTAACGATAATTAGATTCAGAGATATCATTTGTACAGGACAGATTATGGTTGATTATATTCAATATGTAATAAATAAATTATTAACGACAGGTACTTGTCTTGATACGATTATTACCTAATAAAAGATTAATAAAGCAGAACTAATGAATACGCCAATAAATGCCATTTTCCTTTCAACTTTGATAGGCGCCGATCCAGAATTTTAAAATTTGTGCGCATGTTGATGTTTGCTACGAAAATATTTAACAAAATATCTTTGCTAATAATTATTCCGGTTATTAAGTAATTTGTATCAAGTTTAGAAAGAGAATTTAATTAACATATTCTAGTGATATCGGCATATTACTCCGTGTTTATTTTATCTTACTGCATTAATGAATATTTTATTAAAGTGCATATCAACATGATTATTTTGGCAAATTTGTTCCGATTAAATGAAATATTACTTGTTGTCAAATTTTCTTAAAGGTATGTGTAATAAATTTCTAGAAAATTACAGTTGTTGCTGAAATGGTCGGTACTGTTTTATGCATAAAGGACGTGCATGACTTCCACTTAAACTGGATAGACAGACGCACTGAAAACAAAGTGACAATGGTTTTTAAACAAAGGACATTATTTCCACATTACTATTACATCAATAGTGGACTGATAGGCAGAGTATGCAGTACGCAATGGA